CCACCCCAGAGTGAGTCAGTGACCCCCCCCCAGAGTGTCAGGCACACACCACGACCCCAGAGTGAGTCAGTCACACCCCAACACCCCAGAGTTAGTCAGGCACACACCACGACCCCAGAGTTAGTTAGACACACAACACCACCCCAGCACGTATCTGGGGCTCTCTAAAGACTAACAAAACACGCAGATGGCAGCCTGAGCGTTTGTGGCACCATCCACTTCTTCATTTGAGGGTGTGTTGGAGGTCCAGCACCAAGAATAAATAGGGAAGGGTAGGAGGGGGGAGAAGAGGACATTGGGCAGATAAGTTTCAAAAGATTAGCCCAGCCAGACTGTACCAGGAAAAACTTAAAAAGTGTGAGTCATGATTCTTAGCAGGATCAAAGAGTGATTTCAGAACTCAAGGAGAAGGTAGTTGATGACCAAAATCACATATGGAAAAGAACATGGACTTGAGGTATGAGTGAATGGCAGATAGTCAGGGCCCCTCAGGTCCATATCTGTCTTTGCGCCTCTTTACAAAGCTACTGCTGTAGCTCTCACTCAGCCTGGCCCATCTCCTCCCCCCTCCTTCCTGTGCTTCCAGATTCCCAACAGCCAGTGCTCCCAGTTCTAATAATTACAAGCAGCATCTAAAACACCACAAAGAGGGACTTAAAAGGAGGCACTGCAGCTCAGCCAAGTAGCTAACTGAGGGGAAAGGATGTATGCTCACTTTGAAGTAAGAATAAGGGCCTCCGGAAAAGGGCGCTTTTTCCGGAGGATCGGGGCCAGTCTAGACGCTCTTTTCCGGCTTTTTTAAAAGCCGGAAAAAAGCGGCGGACATTTTTATTTAAATGCCGCGGGGGATATTTAAATCCCCCGCGGATTTCCCTACGACGACTAGTGAAATTTACATGCCCCTTCCGGAAAAGGGGCCAGTGTAGACGTAGCCAGTAAGTGTGTGTACAGAGCAGGGCTTTACAGGAAATGAGCTACGCAAATTGAATTACGTCAATTGCGTAGCTTATTTTAAAATTGGGAGCGCCTACACAGCACTTATTTCAAAATAGATCACTCTTCCTCTGACTTCCCTTACTCCTTATACAATGAAGACCTCCAGCTTGACAGTATTTCAACATTATTGTAAAATAACTACCTGCTGTATAGACACAGACTAAGTTATTTTGAAATAATGTTGCTGTGTAGATGTACCCGAGGTGACTCCGGGCAAGTCACTTAATTTTCTGTACTTTTTTTACCCATATGTAAAATGGGGACAATTATACCACTAGCACTATCATTACTAGTGCAGTGCACAATGTGTTACTTGTGCATCGTGCATTAGACAAATAAATGAGATGTCACAGACTATTAAACCAACCTCTGTAGTGGCTGAGTCTACACTGCATCACAGGTTGAAATAAGATACACAATTTGCATAGCTCAAATTGCATATCTTATTTCAATGTTATTTCAGAATAGCTTATTTTGAAATTTGGCGCTGTCTACACAGCAGGCATTTCAAAATAAATTGCTATTCTGAAATGTCCCTTATTCCTCGTGGAATGAGGTTTACAGGGATGTTGGAATAGCGAGCCTGTTATATTTCAAAATAATGGGCAAGCTTAAAAGACGTGAAATAGCTATTTCGGGATACCTTCGCTGCACTGTAGACATAGCCAATATGTGCAAAGCAAAGTAGTATACATTTTGCAACAAGTTGTAAAGCCCTACTAATTACAAATTTATTTTACAAAAGAGAATATATATTTTAGTGAGACTTGGTCAGAAAAGAACCCGAATATGTCAGATCTCTCATACAATGATATTTACAGACGGAGCACCTGATTGTTGAAACATTGTGGTTTCCTGGAAATGTACTATTAGACAACTAATTCTCTTTTATAGTGTTTCCTTATCTAACTAGCAACAGTAGCCAAGCAACTTACAAACATTAACTTTCCAAGCTGTGTTGAATGGTTTCTAGCCCCACAAAACTTTAGAAGAGCTTTAATTCCAAGTTTGTTCTGGCCAACATCTTGATTCTGTGCCAGGGATCTTGTATACATGTGCAACCCCCACTGCACTCAAGTTTTAGGTCTTGTCTCTAGGGCTACATCTGAACTACAGGCTTCTTGCACAAGAAGCCTTTTATGCTAGAGTTTTTTGCGCAAAATTTGTGCAAGAGCATGTCCAAACCTCAAAGCACATTGCAAAAGAGGTGTGCTT